AAATGGCCGACAACACACGCACGAACGCTGACATATCGAAGAAAGAGAAGCGCCTCTTCGCGGGCTTTTTGTACACTTTCATTGCACTTCGACTTTTCATCCGATTCCTGTCAGTGTTATCGCTCTCCGTTGTGTTCGGGAAGACGTTAAATACATTCTTTGTAGTAAGCCAGGAGCAAGCGGCACTTTTTCACCGTCCTTCTTTTGGGCCGTGTCTTCGAACACACTTCTGTTTTCTTCGTTTAGCCGGCCATCCAACCAGCCAGCCGGTTAGAAATCTCTTTATTGCAGAATAGTAACATAATGGATGCATTGGCTATTATATCACGGACAAAAGACAAGGATTTACAGCTAGTGAAAGTCTCCATTGTTATAGAGACATCCATTTGAGGATATGAGCCATTACAACCATGTTTTCAGGATGCCTTTAACAAGAAACATTGAATTACGCCAAGGGTTAAGATATTTCTCGTTATAGTTGTTAAATCCGCGAAGAAAGAAGCTTAAAGTCGATATCCAAACTTCCGATACGGTCAGTCGACAAAGAACGGCACGGAAATAATCTCTGAAAATATAGACACCGGTGTAGAAAGATGTCATCATTTGATGCCGACTGTGCATTTACGGCTCGCCCCAAAACAGCACAACTGTATTATTCTTGAATTTGATGCAGAGACGCAAGAATAATGCAGCTTCTGGATAGAAGTGCCTTCAGGAGTAGAAGGAATCGTATTGCAGATATATGAATCGAATTATAGAGAAGCCGTAAAAACAACCGAGTCTTTATAAATGAAAAGAACGTGTTTATTTACATAGACTTATTTACTAAGTTTAGCTTCGAGCAGGAAAAAAAAAAAAAAAAAAAAAGAAAAATTGTGAGAAACAAGGATAGGTAAATATTATCATGTATTTCCTTATGAATTGAAAAGATCTTGACCCTAGTTAAATTGACTGGTTCCATTGCAAAAAAAAAAAAAAAAAATAGGGAAAATTTTTTATTGAACTTAATTTAGCTTAAGCATTTATAAGTCGACCATTTGCCCATGCATTGAATATTGCTGCCACAATTGTTGATAAAATCCTAAGAAGAATTTGTAATATTATTGGACCTGACCTGGCATCTCTCCTTCAGTCACTTTCTCACTGCCGTAACGTAGCTTCTCTGCGCTTTTTCTATAAATATTTTTTATGGTAATTGTTTTGATGAATTTTCCTCTATTGTAATCATTGCAAATATTCATTAGGGTCCCATTTTTAAAAGTTGGTATTTTTATTATCCCCTACCCCAGAATTTTTTTTATTATCTCCCACCCCACTATTATGGTAGCTACGGTAGTACGAATGTATTGTTTTGATGAAAAGGAATACTTAAGTATGTTTGGATCAGTGACCGTGGCTAGTTAAGTTCAAGATGACGCAGTTTGAAGACCAGTCTCCCTCTATATTCTTTTTTGACCTTGTGCCACATTTTTGTATTTTACAAAATAAGTTATAATTGCAAAAAAAAAAAAAAAATAGGGGGTAAGTAATAATAATTTCTCTATGGTACCTAGACGTTAAGAATTTGTGCACAGTACTAGATTGGTGGCGTGGTTCCATCAGCTTGCACACTATTGTCTTCATCTTTGTCGCCATATTTATTACAACGCTTCGGCCGTTGTACGCTCCGACCTTCTTCAAACGTCAAATTGAACCCTTTAATTCTAGTTTAATGGATGTCAGTTATCAGTTATCTCCTGTTAACTCTCCAAGTTTTCCACTGCCTTAACCGGGTATTGAACTCACACTCTTTGGGTTCATTCACTGGATCTAACCAACGCCTTTATCCACTGTGCCATGTGTCCTTGTGTATGTATTTCTGGATATTATAAACCTAATGTCTCTAGCAACCATTTTTTACCAATGCTCATATTGCAATTTTTGCTGTTATCCTTGCATGCTTTTACCAGAGCTCATATTGCAATTTTAAGGCAGTTAAGGCATTGGAGAACTTGGAGATAACTGATAACTGACATCCATTAAACATGGCACGTGGAACTAGAACAGTCGACCCCAGTTTGAAAAAATAAAGGGTTCAGTTCGACATTCCAATCACCTGAAGAAGGTCGGAGCTTACAACAGCCGAAACGTTGTAATAAATATGGCGAAAAAGATGGGGACAATAGTCCGAATAATGTAAACAGTGTACATAATACCTCATCTCAGAAATATAGACAGATACAGTAGTAAATGCTGTATGTTGGTCTGCAGTTGGAGACTCGTCTCCAGCTGTGCTGGTCAAACTCTCTGGCTCCGAGCAGAGAGGATCCCCAGACAAGCCTATATCTATTTTTATACGGGGGATTTTTGGCCGGCTTTGTGTCACATCTGACCGTGTGGGGCGGTTGGTAGATATCCTGCCGTCGGAGATTTGTCTCCAGCAATGCTGGTCACTCTGCCTCCGGGCAGAGAGGACCCCCAGACGTGGCTATGTCGAAGGGCAGAGTCTTGACTCGGGAAACAGCTACCCGACTCCGTTTAATACGGGGTCTACGATGAATATTTGGCCGAGCCTACGGGCTCGGATACCCTACATTAAATTCGACCTTGTGCCACATCTAACCGCGTGGGACGGTTGGCAGATATCTTGCAGTTAAAGATTCATTGTGGGATTCCCTTGATTCACTTCTAGAAGTTGACTACTGCTTTTACGCGCCGCTGGCGAATCTTATATGCGTTGTTCGTGTCCTAAGTATTATCGTTCATTACCAACCTTCGTGTGATTATTCTATTCAGTAACCTTCCCTAGGTTACAACAGGTCTAGAATAATAGTTTCTTCTATTACACTTTTCGCTTGTGGATATCCTTTCTGGTTTCTTGCTTCCCTGACAACATTGAATTGTCAATCGTTGTTTTTTGTCTTCTGTTCTTTTGTTTTTGTCTTTTGTATTCTTTTTCTCCTATTCTCTCACACTCAGTAACCCTAGTGAGTCTTAGTAGCTTTATTGCCTTGCTAGGTGTGAAGTGATAAAAGAAAGATTAGTGTTCATTCGAGATTTTATTGTAATTTGCATTATTTATATTAAGATTATTATCTTTATCTTTGTTGTTGTTATCACAACGTTTCGGCCGTTGTGTATTCAGTACTTCCTCATGTGTATATTGATCTGGGTAATCTACAGGGAATTCTGAATTCAAAACTTACTTTAATCTACGGGGCAGACCTCGTTCTCCTGCCCATAGAAAAATTCTCGTTCCACCCTCGCGTAGGACAATTTGCTGTAGAACTTAGTGGATTAAAGAGTTAGTTAGAGAATTTTGTGACGTAGTGGTTCTGAGTTCAATCCCTGGGTCATGCAGTGTATATTGGTTAATATTTTCATAGTCATATATGTTGGGTTGGGAAAGGAATGATATTTCAGATCCTGGGCGTAGATTTACATTTTGATAAGATTCGATAGCAGCACTCTCAGTAATTCTTCTTTTAAGTGAGCTACTTTCTCATTTAATGCGTTGTGGTTGAATTTATTTGTATGTATGACTAATGTATTTGATAAATTATATTGTATAAAATGTCGCGTCGGCTAAGTTTTCTTTTTGTCTTTACATATATATATATATATATGTGTGTGTGTATATATATATATGTATATATGTGTGTGTATATATATATATATATATATATATGTGTGTATTTGTGTGTATATATATATGTATATATATATGTGTGTGTATGTGTATATATATATATATATATATATATATATATATATATATATATAGATAGAGAGAGAGAGAGAGAGAGAAAGAGAGTAAGAGAGGGAATTAGCTTGTCGATAATGTAAAAATAATGAAAATTACGTTTTTATTTGCTTTGGTCATTTAGTTATTATTCGTCAAATTTTGGAAAACGGGATATTTTAGTCAAAATTCAAATGTTATATTGCACGTTTGTGGAAATGAAGATTTCAAGATTTCGCATAAAATATATGTATATATATATATATATATATATATATATATATATATATATATATATATATATATATATATATATAAGTGTGTGTTTATACATGCATATATATAATCGTCTAACAGTAGCTTTTTGCCTTGTCTATTTTATTCATATCCGTATATATATATGTACATGTATGTATATATATATATGTGTGTGTGTGTGTGTTTGGTGTCTGCGCACGGGCGTGTGTGTAGATTTGCTATATACGTAACTTTCTTTTTTCTTTTATTTCTTTCTATCTTTTCTTTTATCCTTTTTGCTTTTCTTTCATTTAATTAAATACATTCACGGATCTTTTTTCTTTTTTTTCTTTCTATATCATTGTCTGTTTTCGTCTTCCTTTTTTGTCCCTTCTTTATTTCATTTTCCGCTCATTCCTCCCTTTTCTTCTTCGTGTATTATTCCTTCTTTTCTCTTTTTTTCCCTCCTTTCTTTTTGTGGGCATTTTCCTTTCGTTTGCTTTGTTTTTTAATTTCTCTATCTCTCTCTCTCTTTTTTATTTTTTTAAAAAAAATTCTATTTGTCATCGTCATTGTTGTTTATTGATTTTCTTTATCTTTCTTTTCTCGTCATGGCCTCTGCAGACCCTAATTTCAACTCTGCTTTTGTGGACAATAGAACAACGAAACACAACAAGCAAATCTATAGAACGGGACTAAAGGGTTTGACAAGAGACTCAAAGAACGTAAAAAGGAAAATGGCCGTGGAACATTAGATCCCTAACAGACATCATCACCGCTTCACGTATAACATTTGTCTTTGTTTTTGTTTTGTTATGTTTTGGTGATCACAATAGCTAATGGGGAAAAAATGAAAGAATTTTTTCAAGTTTTCAAATAAAAAAAAATGTCGGAAATGGACAAAACTGAAAATCCGTAAAAGAGAGAGAAGCTATGCAGTAAAAACAAACAAACGACCAAAAAAATAAAAAAAAATAATAGAAAAAAAAAAGCAAACAAGAAAACATGTAATGAAGAGTCATAAAGAAGTTTGTTTATATCGTCATGAAAAGCTGGAATTGCAATAGAGCATACAAGCGATGAATGGAAGAAAATGGCGGGAGAAAAGCGAAAAATGAATAGCAGAAAACGAAGAGAATATGAACAAATCTTTGGATGACTCTTTAGCACAACACACAAAAAAAGTGTCAGACGAGACTCGAGCAGAAAAACTATTGTTGTCGAAAGAAAAGAAAAACGAGACGGAGACGCTGGATACTTCGGCCGGAGTGGTTCTATCGAAACCATTGTCTACCATTCTGCGGCTTCAATACAAAGACGATGGATTCATCTTCTTGCAATTTCTTCTGCCATATTTTCTTTATTTTTCTACATCGGCTTCTTCTTGTTAGTATTTATCTTCTTCTCTATCGATCCATTTATTTTACATAGCGTTCTTTCGATTATTATTATTATTATTATTAATAATAATAATAATAATAATAATAATAAATCAATGAGAGAAAATAACAAAGATTGCCTTGTAGTAGCAGTGATAATGTTATTAGACTTGTAATTCATTATTCTGTACTCATTTAGTCCCTCCTTTCATTGTAGGTATATTCTTGCCCTAAATGGAGATCATGTGACATCAAGTCATTTCAGAATGTCTTCGAGTGAATACGGCCTGCAGGTCTTATGGAATTCCATCTTTCTTCGACTGTCCTGTATTGGCGCTACGTAATCACAGTAAACAAAACTGTAGCAAATATCAGAAAACGCATCACATGACGAGTTCTAACAGTAGCAACTGCACAAATGCGTAGCACATGTATCTCAAAGAGAAAATAATGGTACATTGGCAAGACCGGAAGGCGCAACGACCGAAACGTGATAAAAACAACAAAAATGAAGATAACAGTCCGAATACAAATAATATAAATAATGAAAACTCCTTATCTTTAGAAGTTCAGAAAAAAAATGTACGGTAAGTTTTAGCTCTCATCCGAGCTTATAATCTTTATAGTATTCCAGTGATGAGGATCACATTATTATTATTATTATTATTATTATTATTATTACAATTTAATAAATGTTCACACAAGTACTAAATGGTCGCTTACAATGGGGATTAATCGACAGCAAGTCCCCGTAATATATTCCAACTTTTAGTATTTTTGATGTTTTCAGCAATGCTGCATTTTATAGAAGCTATTCCGATAGTGAGTAGTTGCAACAGTCTTTTTCATCGGCTCTTCAGGACCGTCCATAGTGCTTAAGTAACCACTAGCACGACTATCAATTTCATGTTCTAGAAGTTCTTCAGCAGCCTGGCAAGATGGATATGTTTGTACCTCTAACTTTCTTTTGGACTCTGAACAAATAAATACAAAAACAAAACAAAAAACAAAAAAAAAAAAAAAAAAAAAAAAGAAAAGAAAAAAGAAATACATATATTCTTGATTATGGCTACCAGTTCTGGTCTTCTGGTATTAATTAAGAGATCAGCTTGAATCTCAAAGACGCAGTATAAATTATTTCTTTTATACCTGAGAACATATTCTGGCACGTGCATATACAAATTAGTTTGGATGGTGAAAATGTGTTTGTTTCCATCGTTCCCAGTGTGTCGCCTTCCCTACTCAGTCATACTTATTCTTGTATTATTTTTAGCGAATATTTTGCTTATGTGGTTGACTGTCATATATTTATCTGCCCATAGTCTACCTTTCCCGTCATTCCGCGTTCTGTCTAACTTGATTTTTCGATAGGTGGTTCTTATGGCATTATTTTATGTCACTATTAAGAGCGATTGATCTTGTTTTCTATTTTTCTTATCTTTTTTCTCTTCTCTAACGAAGAATCTTAATTGCTATTAATAACAACACAAAACAATACCGCGAGAATTACCACTATTAAGTACAAGGTAGATAGACCACAAGTTTCCTCAATGTAACCATATCTTCAAGTCAAGATAGATAAAACGCAGGTTCCACCAACGGAGATATATCTTAAGGTCAATATAGATAAAACACAAGCCCTCTCCCCCCACGACCTAAATATACCTTAAGGTCAAATTACATAGACCACAGGTTTCCCTAACGTAACCATATCTTCAAGTCAGGATAGATAAAATACAGGTTCCGCCTAGGGAGATATATCTTATGCTCAAGATAGATAGACAACAGGTTTCCTTTACGTTGCCATATCTTCAAGACTAGGTAGATAAAACGTGGATTCCGCGTACAGAGATATATCTTAAAGCCAAGATAGAATACAAGTCGCACCCTGACCTAACTATACCTTAAGGTGAAGTTAGACCACAGGTTTCCCCAACGTAACGATATCTTGAAGTCAGATAAAAACGCAGGTTCTCCCCTAGGGAGATATATCTTAAAGCCAAAATATATAGAACACAGGCTTCCCCACCTAATTACATCCTGATCATCAAGATAGATAGACCACAGGTTTCCACTACTTAACCATATCTTCAAGTCCAGATAGATAAAATACAGGTTTCGCCTACGGAGATAGATAGAACTCAGGTTTCCACTACTTAACCATATATTCAAGTCCAGGTAGATAAAATACAGGTTTCGCCTACGGAGATAGATAGAACTCAGGTTTCCACTACTTAACCATATCTTCAAGTCCAGATGGATAAAATACAGGTTCCGCCTACGGAGATAGATACAACTCAGGTTTCCTTTACGTTGCCATATCTTCAAGTCAAGTAGGATAAAGCGCGGGTTCCACTGACAGAGTTATATCTTAAAGCCAAGATAGACAGAACACGAGTCACACCCCAACCTAACTATACCTTAAGGTCAAGTTAGACCACAGGTTTCCACAAGGTAACCATGTCTTGAAGTCAGAATAGATAAAACGCAGGCCCCCCACCACCTAGGGAGATATATCTTGGCTTTAAGATATATCGCCCTGTCGAAACCTGTACAGTAGAAACATAGATAGTTGTGTGTATAAACCGATTATAAAAGTGCGATGTTTTTCAATAATATTGTCGATGAACATTTAGAACACTTCCTTTTTTTTCAATACTTACAGATTTCATGATATACGCACACGTAAGCATACACGCCTTAATCCAAATATGTAAAAAATACTCACTTATTAAAACGGGATAAATAAATATCTCATGTTACACGATTCAGAGTGCTCAGTTTATTACATGCACGGCCTTAATTTTGCACATTATCTTAATAAACCTGGTGATATCCTTGCATAAGTTCATATTGCCGTTTTCTTTCACCTTTACCCCGAGATTTTCACAGTAATTTCTGACCTCTTCTAGGCCGTCTTGGGTGTGGCAATAAACTACATCCGGTAGCAAGAACTCTGATCGAGAGGTTTTAAGGGGCGTGTAACCAATTCTTAATTGCTGCTGTTCTTACTTTCACCATGACCCGGGGTGGTAATAACTGTAAACAATCAAAACAGGGATAAAAGAAACTGAACGTCAAGAATTCCATTCTCATAGTGTGGAACTATTACTTCTGGTAATTATAAGAGAATTTTCTTTAAATAGAAGGAATGACATACTGATAGGCCCCTGATAAATAAGAAGGGTTAATAAATAAAACCCGTGAGAAAAATTTTAATTCTCATACAGGCAGCCACCTGAATTACGTGTCGGGGTTTTGAACAATGAAAAACATAAGGTGTACGTGGATTTGAACTGTGACAGGCCAAAAAGGGCAACAATAATTGACACTTATCACACACAGCTAAAAATACGAGCTATGAATGGAAACCTTTATTTTCGTAAACAAAGAACTTAGATTAATCTTTACTGGTCGGAAGGTTGCTGAAGTAGCAGGCGGAGATGAGACATCAAGAATGGTGGAGGAGCCACCCACGCTCACTGAGGAGGATTAGTGGGAGATGAAAATAAGAGAAAGTGGAAGTTATGAGGTGAAGTAATGCCTGTAACCATCACCCGTGGAAGAAAGGAATTCCCCAAAATTATGAAGTAATGTAATTTTCGGGACCCAGACAATGGAGATGTCGGCCGGGGGGGGGGACACTGAATTATCCAACTGTGCCGTTTCCACACCAGTTTAGGCGAACGTCAATAAATATGAATGCCCGAAGCGAGATCGTGAGACGGGAGAGAGTTCTCTCCAGCCACCGGACACGATAGACCCCAAGTGATTATCTACCGACGAGAACCATCGACTTTAGCCTTGTGCCGAACTTTACCAAATCAGCAAAACAAACTTTACCAAGTCAACAAAAGTGTCACGTCCGAGTTAGAAGCGGGTTGGGCTGATAATTTTTTGCATGCGAACTCTTTATTTAACCAATTACTGTATGAAGGACTTGATATAAAAAGAGTATTTAATTTATTTATTCGAGTGTTTTCTTACTTTGCATCTTCGCTCTGCTTGAAGCAGCCTAATACGAAGATACCTTACGAAAATTCGATCTTGGCCGCCTTATGATGAAGCAAATCACGACGTGGGATAAGGTTAAACCTGGATCGAAGTGATCACACCCATCGATCAGCCGCAGGTATTGGACGTCTTGGGTGAGCGGGGAATGTGTAGGGCGAAAATAGAAAAAATTACCATCAACAGATTTTATTAAAAAGGGAAAAAATTACCAGCAATAGATTTTTGTAAAAAAGAAAAATTACTCAATCAACCAAAGAAAATTAAATGTAGGCATTAAGTGACGCATAAGGAGTTGATATGCCTTTAAACGAACAAGCAAACTTCTAGTAGGCATTCATATTTCGTGTATTTACCAATCTCAAATTCATTCTTCCTGCTTTCGTTTTGATATCCAACTCAAAATGATTGCATAATTCCCAATGATTTATCTCTTTGGTGGCAAAATTTAATTCTTTTAGAGCCAACTCGCTACAACGAATTTTACATTCTTTTAGAGCCACCTTGCTACAAAGAATTTTATATTCTTTTTGAACCACCTCGCTACAACGAATTTTATTTACTTTTAGAGCCAACTCGCTACAACGAATTTTATATTATTTTTCAACCAGCTCGCTACAACGAATTTTACATTCTTTTTGAACCACCTCGCTACAAGGAATTTTATTTACTTAATAGTGCATATATTGTAGACATATGTTCAACTTAAAAAATTAGCAAATATTTATTTAAGTAAAACCACGAGGATGACTTGCAACCTCGAAAGATGCTGTATACACGGATAACGGGGTTCGGTTTCAAGTTGGCCATCACATGCACATGGATAGGCTTGAACGATTTCTTGCTGTTGTGCAGAAGTCGGGTGGACTAAAATCAGGAGAGCTTGGAGGACACATCTTGGGGATGACAAGGTCATAGAAACTTTTAGTCAATCACTCCTGAGATAGATGCGTGAGGATGCATTGTCCTGCTGGAACACTTAATATATTTCTCTCGATCTAGAGACGGATGTAAACAATATATATATATATATATATATATATATATATATATATATATATATATATATATATATATATATATATATATATATAAGAGAGAGAGAAGAAAGAAAAGAAAGAAAAGAAAGAAAGAAAGAAAGAGGAAAAAATTATTAAATCTTCAACTTATCTGTCACTACACGGATTTTCACGGATATGATAACCATTTGTTATGAGACGTGATAGAAAATGTTTCCGATTCAAACTCCGAGTTCGTTGGAAATTTTATTTGCTGCTATTAATGATCTATTTCTTCATAGTATATTGGGGATTTAATTACAAACCGTTATCTTCCAGGAATACATTTATTTGGACTAAACCCAATATTTCGTAAGGTATGCTATATTTACAGGTTAAAATTCCCCTTGATGATAGAGATAGAGCGTATGTAAATATTAAATTGGACACTTGGATCAACATCGAGCGGTCACCTGTCAGTTTCATAGTTGAAGTCAATCTTCAGGTCATGCATATTATGTTTTGCCTCCCCTATTAATATACGTTAGTCAGTAGTGCAACGACACTAGCTGGATAAATAAAGAAGGGAACTGGTTCGAATCCACGTTTACCCGGTTATGGTACTGGTGAAGATGATTATATGATGAATTCATTTTATTTTTATCTAGTTATTATTCAGTATTCATCTACGTGTATCTCCTTCAATATATCCCTAAGAATATATATATATATATATATATATATATATATATGAAGATTCTCAGAAGAAGAAACGCGTTAGCAAAGATAAGTTTTCCTTTTATATATATATATATATATATATATATATATATATATATATATATATATATATATATTAAAATGATGATTTCATATTATTTTTATCTAGCTATTATTCAGTATTCATCTACGTGTATCACCTTCTATATATATATATATATATATATATATATATATATATATATATATATATATATATATATATCTATCTATCTATATATATATATTATAATATTATTATTAAAATGATTTCATTTTATTTTTATCTAGTTATTATTCAGTATCCATTAACATGTATCTCCTTCAATATATCTGTAAGAATATATATATATATATATATATATTACCTTGATGAAGACTCTCAGAGGAAGAAACGCGTTAGCAAAGATAAGTTTTTCTCTTATATATATATATATATATATATATATATATATATATATATATATATATATATATATATATATTATTAAAATGATGATTTCATGTTATTTTTATCTAGTTATTATTCAGTATTCATCTACGTGTATCACCTTATATATATATATATATATATATATATATATATATATATGAAGAAATATAGTTTTAAGGTGTGCTATATTTATGAGATGAAGTGTTCAATATTAGAAATAGAGCGTATGTAAATAGAAATATAAAAGTGAACACTGAAATCAACTCAAATACTTTTTGTGTCATAATATATTACTATAATAGTTGAACATATATTACTTACTCTTAATGATTATAGTCTTCTCGTTGTTAATTTATATCATTCCCCGCCGTTAGGCACGTCAGGCCATATGACGGTTTCGTATAGGATACAGTTTCGATTCCTGTCGGACATTCAGGCCGGTAAATGCTATTAATACTGTTTATTATAAACAGAGCATTTACTTAAATATTTGTATCCATAAAAAGAACGTATATACATAAAAAATTTTTTAAAATTTACAGTTTTATCATAAAGGCAGAAATAATCTTGTAGTTCGATAGCAGAGATGCATAGATGTTCATGGGTCCCTATTTTGACTGATTTAAACACAGTTTATATATATTGACTGATATATATATATTGACTGATTTGACACAGTTTATATATATATATTGACTGATTTGACACAGTTTATATATATATATTGACTGATTTGACACAGTTTATATATATATATTGACTGATTTGACACAGTTTATATATATATATTGACTGATTTGACACAGTTTATATATATTCATTCAGGAAAAAATGTTTATTCTAAGATTGGACATTATTTTCCGAAGAACCTAATACATTTTCCAGGTTCTGTATGAATAAAGACAAAAGAAAATTATTTAAAAATAAGTTAAAAGTATGAAGTGAGAAACTGACATATTTAAAATATTAAGTTAAAGAGGAAGCGAAAAAGTAAGCCGAAACAATTGATATTGACAGGTCTTTTATCAAAAACTCATACTGATTAAAAAGAACTCAAAATACAAAATACTAAGGACAATGTTTAAATACCATTCATATTAAGACCGATCAGCCATTTCTTAGATAGCTTAAAAGACTTACTTTGAAGCGATAAATGGTTTTCTACTATCACGCATATACCAGTTTTGTCCCTCCAAATCGAACATTAATCCTTTATTTTTTTTCCAAATTCTTATACCCTGCATCTTGTGATCTGACTGGAGAAACATGGTAAAGTCTATATTTTTTAGAAAGATAGAGCTTTAAGAAATCTACTTTAGCTGAAATCAATCTGCGTCTATTGTAGTCATTTTATTAAGCTTCTCTCAAATTTTCTCTACTATCACTAAAATGCAATATGATTACTATAGGAAAATAATCTTCTTTGTGTGC